TGATTAGGAATAGGAATTTAGGCTTGACATGGACTCTTAATTAGAGTTGCGATCTATAAATAAGATCTATGACTTGGATAGACATAACGACTGACAAGTCAGTTAATGGTAATTCAAGCAACCAAGTCCCAAAACCCTAATCCTCTCTCTCTCACTCACGGCTCTCTCTCTCTCCTCCCCTTGTCCGTACAGCGGGCCCTCTGTGGTGGTTCGTGTGGTGGCTCAGGGTGGTTCGTGGTTGGTTTGTTGCTCTCTATTCTCCGTAGAAGGTCAATTGAAGGGTTCAATTGCAACTAACTAGCATTAGTGGAGGTTTAATCCGTTCTCGTGGACCAAGTAGAGGAATCGCACTTGAGGTTCTTTGTGTCCCTTGTTCTTGCTCGATCATACATGGAATCACGCTTTAAAGGTGTAATTACTTGCTCTTTATGCGTTATGCATTGATCTTGGTTATCAGATGCTTATAAATATGATTCAGTTAGCCTATGCATGTAGATATATTGAATATTAATTCTTTGATAGTCCACAAATTTAATTCAATTAGGAGGGACAATAATTTAATTATGATTGAATTATTATTTTAAATGTGATTTAACATATAGAATTATTAAAAGTTTTTTAGTTTGCTCAAGAATTCGCCTAAAAAGATCCGATTTTTGCCCCTAATGCATTCGAAAATTCAAACCCCCCATACCCTAATTTGATTTTTTCGAAAATCCTAAACCCTAAAATATTTATTTTGTGTTTTGATTTTGATTTTGATTTAATTCGAATCCTATGTGATTTATGATTTTAATTTGAATGATATCATGTTAAATTATGAATTTTTCATGATTAAACTATTTAATTTAAGAGTTAAATTAAATTGGGGATTAATTTCATGAAGAACCCTAATTTCAAGATTGAATATGATTTAATTTTAAAATTAATTGGACTACATTAAAATTAATTTTATTTTAACAAAAGAATTTGTTTTAATTTAATTAAAATTTAAAAAGAGTTTTATGCGCGGCAGCCACGGCGGCTACCACTGCAGGTGGTCCGGAATGAGGGTCGGGGTGGGGCAGCAGGTCGAGCTAGGAAGGGCAGCAACTGCAGCACCATGCAACAATTGTGCGGCATTGCTGATGTGTTGTATACACCAGTCGGTGTACGGCCACCGTGGCTGGCTTCGGCTGGGCACACCACGGTGGGTGCCGCACTATTTTCAAAAAAAAATTATTATGTTATTTTAGTAAAATCATATTTTAAAATTAAAAGGATAAGTTTTTATTTTAAAAGATATTTATCAAAATTAAAGTTGTTAATTTTGTTAAGTTTAGATGATTATTGAGCAAAAGATTCTATATGGGTAATAATTGATTAAATAATGTGATTATCCCATAATTATTTTAGGATAATAATTGATTTAAAATTATGTGATTGGCTAGGCAATTAGGATAGAATCTCCTAAATTAGTTAGGATAATCATGGGAAATAAATATGATTTATCTTCCATAATTAAAATAAGATTTGATTCTATCTCATACCTACGATAGAATATATGATATTTTATATTTGGTAATGAATAATATATGATATTATCTTATTGTAGTAATTTAATTAAAATATGAGATATTTAGAGCCATGTTTCCTTAATTGTGAACATTTGATGTTGTAGTTTAGGAAATCATGATGAGTGATTTATTATATGGCATTTATAATATATGATGTTATTTATTGCTATATATAGACTAGTATGGCCTATAGATTGTTAATACGATCTGCGCATTGTTTCGTATTTTTGTAATCTAAATACAGTCTACGTACCTTTAAGTATTTTTGTAATTTATTTTATTTTATTTAAGTAGTAGATAGAATAGAATAGTATTATAGGTTGCAGTTGATCCAAAAAGCCAATGGAGTAAAGGCCCAAAGGAGCTATATGTATGAGATCCATGAAGGTTCAAGTAGGAGTTTTGCTTGATTAGTTTTTAGGATTAAGGGTCATACTATTTGCTTCCTTAATTGTGAACATTTGATGTTGTAGTTTAGGAAAGCATGACGAGTGATTTATTATATGAAATTTATAATATATAATGTTATTTATTGCTATATATAGATTAGTATGGCCCATAGATTCTAAATACAATCTGCGCATTGTTTTGTATTTTTGTAATCTAAATACTGTCTATGTACCGTTAAGTATTTTTATAATTTATTTTATTTTATTTAAGTAGTATATGAATAGAATAGTATTACAGGTTGCAGTTTATCCAAGAAGCCAATGGAGTAAAGGCCCAAAGGAGCTAGATGGATGAGATCTATGAAGGTTTAAGTGGGAGTTTTTCTTTATTAGTTTTTAGGTTTAAGGGGCCATACTATGTCATGTTTTATTTATGCATTAGTAGATTATATATGCATTTTAGATATTATTGATGTTTGTGATGATGCGCTAGAGTTCACTAAATAATCACAACATAATAAATCTAGATCCCGATAATATTGAGGTTGCTTTTCCGATTAAATACCCAATAAACCTTCGATATTTATGATCGGTCATGCCAAAGCTGGTTGTCATTTTATATCTTGGGAGATTTGGGGTAAATCAAGTTTTACAATTTTAATTTGTTATACTTAACAAGGTTACCTAAATATTTTAGAACCTTGAAGCAAAGGGTAATAATAAAAAATGTGATTATTAATTACTTAACAAAGAGTTACAAGAGTTGTAATTAGTAAAGAGTTTACTCACCGTAATGGTTGATGGTAGGGCCAAAGTCCAGTCAATTATTGCACAAATAAAGGGTCTTTGAATCATTTAATTCAAATGGGATCAATTAATATTAAATAAAATGCTTTAAAGTTGCCAATATTAATACGCTAAAGGTGCATTAAATTTTATTAAACATAATTATTGAACTTTGCCTCGTTTTGATTTTGTAGATGAAAAGCTTTAACGACAACACTAATTTGCCAACCAAACTGAAAACAAGGCTTAATCACATAAACTTTGGGATTGGGAAGAAGAGCTAAGAAATGTTTTTAGGAGCCACAGATTTGTGAGGCTCGACTCTACGTTCCTGATAAATCATATTTATATAGTCTTATTTAGGTACATTTATGCTAGTTTTAGAGCTTTTTCATAGTCTTCTTAGTCGATTTTAGGGTCATGTCTGCATAAGTCATTATATGTTGCTCTATTACGCTCCGTTTGTGTTTTTCTTAATGTTTCAGGTGATTTCATAGTCATTTGGAAGCTTTCGAAGTGTTTAGAGATGATTCGGATGATATTTGAATTGAAATCGATGGATCGAGTTCAGTGATCGAGGAATTTATGCTCATGGATGTTGTTTCTAAGGATTCTATGCATGGAAAATGAAAATAGCATCCACGAGAGTCGCTATGGGCCTTACGGAAGCGAATTCGAGTTAGAAACGGAGAAGAACGAAGGCTTGCAAAGTGTCCAAAAATGACCTTTTCTCACTGTTTTGACAATAACTCGAGTTTTAAAAATTAGAATGAAGTTATTCAAGTTGTATTGGAAACTAGACTTGAAGAGCTTTCCAATGATAGGTCGCACGCCCCGAGAGGATTCCTAGAACAGAAGTTATGAGCGTTTGAAACTAAGCGATGCAGTCAGCCACCCGAGGGATATAGCTGCGGGTCTGTCCTGCGGCCACCCGATGCCCGCTGCCGCCACTGCCAGGGCAGGGAACCACCCTGCGGCCGCGGGTCTGATCGAGTGGCTGAGCAGCGTTTTGAAGCCACGAGCGACCTTAAGTCTTCACTTCTTTTCACGTCATCGGTCTACCGACTTTATTTGTTGCCATATCATCATCTACCATCCAATAATATTGTAGCTTATGCATTTATTTATTTATTTATTTTTATTTTAATTAGCCTAGAATAAGACTTGAATATAAATACTTGAGGGATTTTATTTTCCTCTCTTATGCTTTATTTTTCTAGATTAAACGCTTCTTAGTTTTCTTTCTCTCCATTGTTGAACCCTAGCTTTTCATTCTTCATTAATTCAATCATCGAGGTATTTCAATTATTCTTTGAGTTCTTTATTTATTTTATTAATTATGAATTCAAGTTTATTTATCTCTTTTCTTTTGTTTATTTCAATTATGAGTGAGTAGTCGTTTTCTATGGTTAAGTGAGGGAAGCTATGTTTATACCATGATTATTTGTGCTTATTTATTTATAAATTTATGATTTAGGGTTTGAATAATTCCAATTGATTTGTGCTTTATTGTTTGATTCATGTAATTGGCCAATATCATGAGTTAATTATTTAGCTAATAAAAATTAGAATTGAAATATCATATTTTAAGAGGCTTAATTACAATTGGCGAATTTGATTATGTTAGCGACCGAACTACATATGTTAATTCGTAAGTGTTAATTACCGACCGTAGGATTAATAAGTGCTTTAATTATTTGACCTAATATGTTTATTAATGGATTGTTTGCATTTCTTGGTTTAGTATAAGCATGGTGGACTGAACTTTTGCCCTAGATTTTAATTTATCTAAGAGCAACCTTATTTTTATTATTGTCATACTTTAGTTAATTAATTATCAAACTACTCTTCGTTTATTGTAATAGTTTATAACAATTGAGAAAAAACTAATAGAACTTGTCTCCCTGTGGGATTCGATCCGTATTTGCAAAGTCTCTGCTAACAACAGACACCGTGCACTTGCGGTATAAATTTTTATTCATCAAGTTTTTGGCGCCGTTGCCGGGGAGACGGCTAGATTCTATTAGTTTTAGTTTGATTGTTTGAACCGTTTTTATTGTCCCATTGGAACTTCTAGTTTCAATTGGGACATTATCATTGCTTTCTTTTCTTTTTGTTTATGCCTAGGTCAAAACGAATAGGTGATTTGATCCCTACGGATCCAGACTTGGATAAGACCCTTAGGCAAATTAAAAAACAAGGGAAAAGGAAGCAGAAAAAGACCCACTCACAGAAGAGCTATACAACACAGTCTGACACACGCAAAGAGATGACTGATAATAGGTCTCTTAATTCTTACAGAGTACCATCCTTAGATGGCATTCCAACGGGTCTTAAAATGCCAGCAATCACTGCAGAGAACTTCGAAATCAAACACGCATTGCTCAGTATGGTCCAACAAAATCAATTTAGTGGCCATCCTACTGACGAGCCGATTAATCATTTGCAGCGATTTCAACAATTATGCTCCGCTGTTCATCACAAAGGAGTCACTCAAGATCAATTGAAGGTGATGTTGTTTGGATTTTCCCTTCGCGATAGAGCTTAAAAGTGATTGAACACTGTCGAGGAGACGGAGTGGAGAAAGATTTCTCAAGCATTCCTCAATGAATATTTTCCCCCTGAAAAAACTGAAAAGATTCGACATCAAATATCAACATTTTCTCAAGTGGCCGGGGAATCTCTTAGGGAAGCATGGGATAGATTCTTAGATCTTCAACGATCATACCCGCATCACAATTTTGAGAAGTGGAATCTTGTTCGTATTTTCTATAACGGACTAGAACCCGAGACTAAATGTATTGTTGATTCTGCCGCAGGTGGTGTTTTCCTTGACAAGACAATCAAGGAAGGGTATGATTTTCTTGCAAATCTTGCAACCAATCATTTCTCTTCTCCAAGAACGCGAGCAAAGAAAAGGAAGATAGAAGTTGAAGCCTATTCAATCTTGACTTCTCAGTTGGCTCAACTAACTGCAAAAATTGATGCATTGCAGGCCACTCAGGACTCCTCTCTTGTATTTGTTAATGCTATGTCTTCTCAACCTCTGCAAACTAATTTTTTTTGTGAATTGTGTGGTATACAGGGTCACTTTGGATATCAATGTGCTCAGAATTCTCAAGATACCAATCAGATGGAGCAGGTGAATGCCTTTCAACAAAGGCAACCAAATGACCCATATTCTAACACATTCAATCCAGGTTGGAGGAATCATCCCTACCTTTCATACAAAAGCAATAATGTTCAAAATCCTCAACCTCAGCAACAGTGGTCACAGCCTCAGAACCCTCAACCTCAGCAATATGTTGCAAGGCCTCCACAACATCAACAAGGGGCCTCTCATCATCCTCCCCCGGGTTTCAATAGGCCACCTCAACAACAACAACCTTCTCATGGCACTCAGGAGCCGACTATGTTTGACCTCATGAGAATGATGACATCCATGAAGCAAAACACTGAAGATAGCATCAAGGAGTTGAAAAATACGACAAAGCATTTGGAGAACCAAATCGCGCAAGTAGCAGGTACCAATATCCAAAGGCAACCTGGCCACTTACCAGGACAGCCTATCCCTAAGGAGACCGCCAATGCTATCACTACTCGTAGTGGTGTTAGCTATGAAGGGCCCCAAATGCCTATTGATGATGAAAATCTTGAGAAGGATAAGAGTAAGGTTGTGGAGAAGACCTTGGATGATGTTCCCACCTCAAAAGATGGGAAAGCTAAAGCAAGTGATGCTGAGAAAGAGAAAAAGAAAGGTTCTGAGCCTCCACCTGTCGAGCCAAAGCTACCATACCCACATCGGATGCAAAAGAACAAGGTAGTTCAAGAATTTGGTAAGTTCTTGAGTATGGTCAAGAACCTTGAGGTAACTGTTCCTTTTACTGATTTGGTCTCTCAAGTTCCAATGTATGCAAAGTTTTTAAAGGAAATGATTACTAAGAAGAAAGACTTTGGTGGTGTAGAAACAGTCGCTCTAACTGCAGAGTGTAGTGCTATATTGCAAAATAAATCCCCACCTAAGCTTAAGGACCCTGGTAGTTTTTCCATCCCATGTCATGTAGGTGCATTATTCATTGATAAAGTTTATGTGACTTAGGTGCTAGTGTGTCTATTATGCCTCTTTCTGTTTGTAACAGGTTGAAAATGGGAGCTTTAAATGCACACAAATCACTTTGCAAATGGCTGATCGTTCTATAAAATACCCTTTAGGTGTTTTGGAGGATGTCCCCATTCGGGTTGGGAAATTTTTCATTCCTGTTGACTTTGTAGTTTTGGATATGGAGGAGGATAGTAATATCCCGATCATTTTAGGTAGACCTTTCTTGTGTACTGCAGGTGCTGTTATTGATGTCAAGTCTGGGTCCCTTACTTTGTCTGTTGGTGATGATATAGTGACTTTCAATCTAACCAATGCGATGAAGTCGCCTATGATTGAGAATACTTGTTGCAGGATTGATGTGCTTGATGAGATTGTGAGATATGATACGCCTCGTGAGTTAGCTAATGATCCATTAGAAGTTGTTCTCACCCTGGAGATCTCTGAAGGAGAAGGAGATGCAGAGATTGACTCCTTGATTCGTGACTTGGATGCCCCTAACATTGAGGGGTTCGAGGTAATGGAAACTATTTGTTCTACTTCTGAGTCACAAGTAAAAAAGGTAGAGTTAAAACCTTTTCCTTCTCATCTAAAATATGTATTTCTTGATGATAATGAGGAATGCCCTGTAATTGTTAGTGATAAACTTGATAATACCCAAGTTTCTAAGCTTTTGACTGTGCTTCGCATGCATAAAAAGGAAATCGGGTATAGCATTGACGATCTTACAGGGATAAGTCCTAATTTTTGTATGCATAGAATTAATTTGGAAGAGAATCATCGCCCTTGCATCTAACCACAACGTCGATTGAATCCTAATATGCAAGAGGTGGTGAAGAAAGAGGTAATGAAACTTCTAGATGCAGGCATCATCTACCCCATCTCAGATTCTAAGTGGGTGAGCCCGGTATAAGTCGTTACTAAGAAAGGGGGGACAACTGTTGTTAAAAATGATAAGAATGAACTAATTCCTACTCGTGTTGTCACAGGTGGCGTATGTGTATCAATTATCGCAGGTTGAATACAACCACCTTGAAAGATCACTTCCCCTTACCTTATATAGATCAAATGCTTGAAAGATTAGCAAAACAAAGTTTTTTCTGTTATTTGGATGGATATTCAGGTTTCTTTCAGATTCCCATTCATCCGGAATATCAAGAGAATACAATGTTTACATGCCCTTATGGTACATTTGCTTATCGCAGAATGCCATTTGGGTTGTGTAACGCCCCTGCGACGTTTCAAAGGTGTATGATGGCCATTTTCTATAATTTCATTGAGAACATCATGGAGGTATTTATGGATGATTTCAGTTTTTATGGTTCTGACTTTGATATGTGCTTGCATAATCTTTCTAAGGTGCTTAAACGTTGTACCGATGTCAATTTGGTCTTGAATTGGGAAAAGTGCCACTTCATGGTCAATGAAGGAGTGGTACTTGGTCATCTTATTTTTGATCGTGGCATCCAAGTTGACAAAGCAAAAATTGAGGTGATTAAAAAACTTCCCCCTCCCGTGAATGTCAAGGGAGTGAGAAGTTTTCTTGGTCATGTAGGGTTTTATCGCCGATTTATAAAAGATTTTTCGAAAATAGCGAACCCCTCACTCAATTATTGCTTAAGGATGCCACATTTGAGTTTACTGATGCTTGTATGGAGTCTTTTAACAGGATTAAGGAGGCATTGATAACTGCTCCTATCATACAACCTCCGGATTGGGATTTGCCATTCAAGATAATGTGTGATGTGAGTGACTATGCTGTGGGAGCCGTGCTTGGACAACGAAAGAACAAGATTTTTCATGCCATTTACTATGCTAGTAAAACCTTGGACGAGGCTCAGATGAATTATGCCACCACTGAGAAAGAGCTCCTAGCTATTGTGTATGTTGTTGACAAGTTTCAAACTTACCTCATTGGTTCGAAAGTAATTATCCACACTGACCATGCCGCTCTGAAGTATCTCCTAGCAAAGAAAGAGGCTAAACCGAGGCTCATTCGATGGATTTTGCACCTTCAAGAGTTCAATTTAGAGATTCGAGATAAAAAGTGTGCCAAGAACGTTGTTGCGGATCACCTTTCTCGATTGAGATTTCAGTCTACTTCTGATAGCCCTATAAATGACTCTTTCCCCAATGATCATTTATTCTCTGTTTCTTCTGTATCTCCATGGTATGCTGATTATGCTAATTTTTGTGTAGATGATTCACATCCTCCGGATTTTACTTACCAACAACGCAAGAAGTTCTACCATGATGCCAAGCGGTACTTTTGGGATGACCCTCACTTGTATCGTAAGTGTTCTGATGGGATGTTTCGGAGATGTGTAGCAGATTGGGATACTCATGGTGTCCTTCATCATTGCCATAAGCTACCTTCTAGTGGGCATCTTGGTTCTACTTCAACTGCATACCGAGTGCTTCAATGTGGTTTCTATTGGCCCTCATTATTCAAGAATGCTCATGCCTTTTGTAATGCCTGTGATGAGTGTCAAATAACTGGAAATATATCGAAGAGGCAAGAGATGCCACAAAATGGGATTCTTGAGGTCGAGCCTTTTGATGTCTGGGGCATTGATTTTATGGGACCATTTCCCTCTTCTTGTGGGAATCGATACATTTTGGTTGCCGTCGACTATGTCACCAAGTGGGTCGAAGCTATTGCGTCGCCTACTAATGATTCAAAAGTCGTTATGAAGCTATTTAAAAAGATCATCTTTCCGCGCTTTAGATTCCCAAGAGTTGTTATTAGTGACGGTGGTTCTCATTTCCATCAACAAACTTTCAAGGCACTTCTTAAGAAACATGGAGTTACTCACAAGGTTGGCTTGGCCTATCATCCTCAAAAGAGCGGCCAAGTTGAGGTATCTAATCGACAAATCAAAAGAATCCTTGAAACGGTTGTCAACAAGTCCCGGAAAGATTGGTCATTGAAGTTGGATGATGCATTGTGGGCATTGCGAACGGCTTACAAGAGTCCATTAGGGACAACTCCATATCGGTTGGTGTATGGCAAAGCTATTCATTTACCGGTCGAAATGGAATATCTTTCACAATGGGCCATCAAGTTGATTAATTTAGATCTAGAAAAGACCAGTGAAGCGAGACTTCTTCAATTGAACGAGCTAGATGAGATACGGCTTGATGCTTATGAGAACCATAGGCTCTACAAAGAGCAAACGAAGAAGTTTCATGATAAGATGATCCAGAAACGAGAGTTCAAGGTTGGCGACAAGGTCTTGCTTTATAACTCGAGACTTCGTCTCTTTAATTTCCTAGAAAGCTTAAGTCTAGATAGTCCGGGCCTTTCACAGTTACTGATGTCAAAGCACATGGAGCCATTGAGGTTGCTAGCAAAAACGGCACGAAATTCAAGGTAAATGGACAACGTTTGAAGCTATATATTGAGGGTGCTTTTATCGGCAAATTGGAGATGATTTATCTCTCCGATCCACCAATTGATGCTTGAAATAGAGGTAAGAAGTCAAGCTCACGACTTTCAAAGAGCACTTATCGGAAGGTAACCCGATTTCTTATTTCTTTTATTTATTTTTAGTTTTCTTATAATTTAAGTTTATTTTTTTATTTTTTTTATTTTTTCTTCTTCACAAACATCTTAGTTTATTATTATTTTATAATTTTAGTTTATTAGTTTTAGTTTTCTTATTTATTTTTTTTAGTTTTCTTTGATTCACTAACATTTTTTTTTCTTTTTTTTTAGTGAAGGCCTTTAAAAAAAATAAAATAACTGCAGCAGCGAAAAAATCCCGAAACCCCACCCGCAGCCCCACCTGCAGCCCACCCCGCGGCTCTGTCCCGTGCCCTCCCCACCCCCCTCTGCATCCACTGCCAGCCCGCAGGCCAGCCTGCGGCCGCGGGTTTTGGCGAACCCACCCAGCAAAAAAAAAAAAAAAAAAAAAATCAAAAAACCAAAACTGAAAAAAAAAATAAAATAAAAAAAGAGAATAGAGAAGAACGTACAGTACATTCCCCTTCTCTCTCTCTCCTCTTCCACGCCACCTCCACCACAACCGCACCTACCACCGTCACCCCACCCCACCGGCGACCACCACCCACCGAACCTCCACCCTCTTATCACCATCTATCACCGTAATCCTTCTCTTCCTTTTGAATTTCATAAACCCTAACTTTTCCAATTGATTTAAGGCTTTTGAAATTCCAAGTTTTGTGACATCAAATTAGGAATTTTGGGGGTATCCTTGGACTATTATAAGAGGTTTGACATATTTTTTATGCACAACTCTCATTGTAGAGGTATAAATTTCAAATTTTTCATCTCTTACTATTCTACAATTATGCTAATTCTTGAGTTTTAACCTTTTTATCATCTATTATCCCAAGTTGGTGTGGTAGTATTGATTTTGCGTATAATTTTTGTGTTGATTGGTTGTGAATTATTTTGGGTGACACATATTTGGCTTTGGATTATTCTTGTTCATTGGTTTGTGTTTCTTTGTTGATTAAATTTCTCATCACTTTCACCATGAGGACAAGAACTCGAACCTCTTCGGCACCTAAGCCACTCTATGACCCCAATGCATATTCTCGAAAAATCACGAAAAAACCACCGACCAAACCCACAAAACGACCTACACAATCTAAGCCAACCTCTAAAACCTCCACACCTAAAGCACCATCTAGAGTCCAACCTCTCCCCCCATCACCATCAACTCCACTTTCTTGGTTAACCGAGTCTCAAAAACAATGTGCAAGGAAGCTCAAAGATCGAACCATGGGACACACTCTTTACTTTTCTCTCTCAGATGCTAAAACCCTTGGGTTTGAATGGTTCTTTGATAGCATTGCAATAACACATGGATGGAGTAAGGTCCTTCGTATTGATCATGATATATGTCCATCACTTGTCATTGAATTTCTTGCCTCACTTGATGTCCAATCAAGTGAGGGAGATGTTGTAATTTCTTTGGATGGAGACGAGCGGATTATGTCATGGGACGATGTGAACATGGCTTTTGGATGGCCAAATAAAGGTGTCATGGGTCCAAAAGTGTTTATGAAATTCAAGGGAAGTCCAAGCTACTCTCTCTTCGACTCGAGCACTTTTTGGAAACAAATAACAGGTCGAACAGATTGGGAGTCCGGTGTTAGCAAATCTAGTTCTACTGGTTGTCCAGCTCTTCGCATGCTACATCGATTTATACTTCAGTTATTTTGACCCAAGAGTGAGGCCGGCCAGGTGACTACATTGGACTTAAAACTTCTATGGTGGCTCACTAGATCTCATGGAAATGCAAGCCTTAATCTCGCCAAATTCCTCATTGAAGCATTTTTATGGGAGCGGGATCTGAAGAAGGGTGATATTTCCATGGGTGGATTTGTTTCTGTGTTGTGTGCGGCATTATATGTTGATTTGAAAAATAAAGAGACATTTGAATCCACCAACTACATCAATTAGGCTGCAATGGACAGATTCGGTTGGCTTTTTCACCAGTCTAATGGTCGATATGTTTGGTTTGTTAAGGGTTGCCGAAGTTTCGATGCAAGGTTGGTGTACGACATTTTCCCGAATGATGCACCCCACGATGAGTTACACGATGAAGTGCAACGTACTTTCCCTTGTTCACATTGTCAATCGGCGGCCGCTAGACCAAATACCTTCTAGTAATCCAACTTCTATTACTAAGACATCTCCACTCACTCTTGATGAGCAATTGAAAAATTTTATGGATTCTTGTCTTTCTTTTCAGGAATCAGTTCTCACACGACTCACCACCATTGAAGGACAGGTACAGGATCTATATGCAGAGATTCGTGATT